GTGCAGCGGTTGTGAGCAAGATGCGGTAGCACGTGACGCTGGAACGCAAACCCTGATGCCGGTTCCCCGCCGCCGGAGCGCTTTTCTCTGCGACGCTTGGCCCGAAGCTGATGCATCACAGGTGAGTCAGGACGAGGGCGCAGCGCAGGTGACATCGTTGGCAAGCATCTGGCAAACGAATGTCCGAGTTGGTGCTTTTGTTTTTGGTGCCAGCGAGAGGGCTCCAGGTGTGATTTGCATATGGGTTTGTGTCCCAAAGGAAACAAAACCCAGAAAGTAGCGTTGGGTTGAAGGCACTCTCCTCCATCCTGATTTACTCTGAGTGTGAACAGTTGTTCCAAATTAGCTACAGACATTTATTGTTGGCTGGTTGACCCCTTTCTCCTATGTGTTTGAGTTATTTGAGCTTTAATAATATCTTTATCAGGAAAGTTTTTTTTTTTTTTTTTAACTCTTCCCTCCTGCCTGCCCGCCTTCCGCATCGTGCTCACTGTGAATTTTGTTGGTTACCCTGTGGCAGGGATGGTAGAGAGGAGAGATTACGTTCTTAATCCCTGCAGGCTTAATGCGGATGCTTAGAGTACTTTAGGAACCATACCTGTACTACTGTAGACCAAAGCAGACCAAAGGCACAGCCGGGATTGCCACCTGTTTTTCAGGATCTTTTCAAAGGCGTTTAGAATGAGGAAGATAAAACACGAATTCATTGAAGTTATCCAGATTGTCCGTTTGTATTGCAAAGTGTGCATTTCAGTTAGCTTCTTATATGTCATTCCAGGAAAAGGTGAGACCTATAACTGGCCAGTGTTTATGTTACCGCTATTGACGGGGGACAGTCCTTGCTTCCCCAATGTTGAAGAATAACACCAGAGAGCACACGCTGAGGCAAGGTCAGAGTAGAAATTAGAAGTTTATTAAAGGACAGCAGAAAAGACTTCTCCGGAGGAAGAAGGGGACCCAAGAGGTGGAATCTGTGGAAGTACTATTGTCTCCCCCCCTTTTTATAGTTTTGGTGATTAGGTTGGAAAGCCTGAGGGGTGGGACACAGGATTTAATTATCACTTTTTGGGACGGGCTTATCACTTCTCTGGGATGGGTTATCTCCAAATCTGTTGGGGGCAGTTTCCTGGGCTCCATTAACATTTCTTTGGGGTGGACTTGGGCCTAGGGCCTTTCTGGGACTTCATTAACATTCCATGAGTTGTCCTGGGTTTCCCGGAATCATTCTCAGCATAGCCTCCATTTTAGATATTAGACCCGATTTACCTAACTACACTGACTACCTAATTTTAAATCTGGCTTCATTTACACAGATCAGTTAAAAATACATAAACTGTACAGGAGTGTAGGAAATGAGTAGGGAAGTGGCCCTTTCTTCCAAGATTGCTTCTTAGAATCCCCCCATGAGAAAGGTAATTAGAATACAGTTGCCCTTTAGAGTAAGAAAGTCTTATGAGGGACATATTGTACATTCCCTTCCTCTGCCTCTCTCTGTGGGATTCTAGTTACCTCTAGTTTATGGCTGCTGAGGTCATCACATTTTAGTGACTCAGAACAAAGCAGAAATCTGCTGAGCCTCTTACATTAAACTCTGGTTGGAACTGGTTTGGGAAGGCCCAGAAGTCAACTTAGAAACACTATTTTGGTTTTTAGATTAATATTCAGGAATTTTCAGAATGGGAGTTAAAACTAAAGATATTAAGTTTTGCTTTAAAAAATAATTGTAACCAATTTGTTGTGGGCTCTTAAATGTTCCAGCGATTATTGTGTTTTAGTTATGGTTATAGCTATAAAAAGTTATGGGAAAAGTCTGTTTTAAACCAAGTCAAGCTCAAAATCTTTCAGAATTTAAGGTAGCTATGGTTTCTTTAGGCTACAAGAAGTTTTGCATTCTTTTGTAATAAAGTACTGTTATCAGTGTACTGTCCATATGTTGTGCTTCATTTGCCATGTGATTCTAGATGTCTCTCTAGCAAGGATGATGAGTTTTACATTGCTCCATCAAATCAAAATGTTCAGAATGCCTTTTCTACACAAGAGACTATACTAGGTTTACCTTGTATATTTAGTTGGTGTCCAAGAGCTTAATTTTATGAGATAACCTGGCTAGGAAAAAGGGCGAACTCTGTAAGTGTAGAATAATTCGAGATGAAGGTGTTTGTGGGACTCTAAGATATACCCTACAAAATAGGTCCTAATGTATTTAAACTGTATAAAAGGCAAAGCAATTCTTTTTTTTTTTTTTTTAAAGATATTTGTTTATATTATAGACCTAAGAGATTTTCTCATTTTTATTTTATTTATATGTGGTGCTGAGGCTCGAACCTAGGGCCTCACATGAGCCTAGGGCCTCATGTGTGCTAGGTGAGCGCTCTACCACTGAGCCACAACCCCAGCCCCCAAAGCAATTTTTTTTTTTTTTTGTAATTTTCTTATCATAGTTAAGAGGTTTCTCCTCCTCCTCCTCCTCCTTTTTGTTACCAGGGACTGAATTCAGAGGTGCTTAACCACTTAGTCACATCCCCAGCCCTATTTTTATATTTTATTTAGAGACAGAGTCTAACTAATTTGCTGAGGCTGGCTTTGAACTCTTGATCCTGCTGCCTCAGCTTCCCAGGAAGCAAGAGTTTGTGTTTCTGAAATTAGATCTGGGTTTAAATCCTGACTCTACACTACCTCTGACTAGTTATGTGATTTTTTTTTTTTTTTTTTAGAGAGAGAGAATTTTTTTTTTTAAATATTTATTTTTAGTTTTCGGTGGACACAACATCTTTGTAAGTGGTGCTGAGGATCCAACCCGGGCCGCACACATGCCAGGCGAGCATGCTACCACTTCAGCCACATCCCCAGCCCAAAGTTATATGATCTTTTTAGCCTCTCTGAGTCTAATTTCCTCATCTTTAAAGTGAGATTAACAAACTAACAACAACAACAAAAAAACCCTATTTTATGAGGATTAGAAGAGATACTTACATGTAAATCTCTTAGCCCAGTGCCTAACTCATGAAAAGGGAGTAATAAGTATTAGCTATTATTAGTTCCAGTTTGGTTGTTAAAATATCATTGCTGTTTTTCAAAATTAAAAACCTATTTGGGTTTGACTTCACTGCTAAGGAATATGGAGCCCCATTTGATTCCCTTCCCCCCTTCCAAATATAGGTAGATATACAGAGAAGAATGCCTAACACTGTTACCAGTAAGGATTAAAAGTCATAGAGACCTTTTACTGTTGTGTTGACTAGCCTCTTTAAATGATAATGATTATAATATGATAGTCTCTGAATTCTGATTAAGAACTAATACTTTTTAAAAATAACCACCAATAATGCCTTATTCAAATCAGTGTTACTCTTCTTTTTAAGTTGTTTTTAATGGCACTGCAAGATGGATCGCGTAGAAAAGGTGACTTTTGATTCTTTAGCCTGCCAAAAATGGTCTGTGTATTAGAAAACAGTTTGGTATATTGAAAAAGTAAACTTTTGGGCAGCATTTTGCAGGATGTTTTATGTTCTTTCATAATCACTCTTATGATTTTGGGGCATATGACATGCCATTCCACCTTTGAGTTTCAGTTTCGTCATATACCTTATTTTGCAGAACTGGTTTGAGAATTCAAAGTAATATTTAGTAATGTTCTAGCAAAGCTTATGTAATGAACCTTGATAGTTAGGGGATATTAAGAGTATTGATTGATTACTAAGGTATTTAAAAAAATTTTTTTAAATTATAGATGGACACAGTAGCTTTATTTACTTTTATGTGGTGCTGAGGATCAAACCCAGTACCTCACACCTGATAGGCAAGCACTCTATCACTAAGCTATAACCCCAGCCCCTACTAAGGTATTTTTAATAAAATAAAATAAAATATTGACCCCTGGGAAAAGTATACTGCTTCTTCACCCCATTGGTGATCTGAATCAGACCATTTATTGCCTCAACTCCAGGTAAAAAGGATTAGTAAAAATTTTTGAATAGTTTTAAGTAATAAACCAATTAGAGAAAATAACTATTATGAGAAGAAAGTCATTGCCAACATGCTGTACAGATTACAGACTTTTCTTTGAATGATATGCATGGGGTTTGGAACAAGGCTGATCTGAATTCAGATCTCTTTTCTGCTATATGACATTCAGGTGAATTAACCTCTCTGAATCCTAGTTTTCTTATTAGCCAAAAGAATATCACATTAGCTATCTCAGAGAGTTCAGAGCATAGAAACAAATAGTTAGTTGATCAGGCCATGTCCCTATCCCCACAAATTTAGATTCTTAGACATCTTTTTTTTTTTAATTTTCCTCCCAAGGTTTTTTTTAAGGTGTTGATGGACCTTGATTTTATTCATTTATTTATACACAGTGCTGAGAATTGAACCCAAGGCCTCACACATGCTAGGCAAGTGCTCTACCACTGAGCCACAACTCTAGCCCCTCTTGGACATCTTAACATGAAGTCACTGAGGTAATTTTCTGTGTAACTGGTTGTGTATGATGTTTCCTAGGATGAATGAAATGAACCTGAGCCCAGTGGGGATGGAGCAGCTGACTTCATCCTCTGTGAGCAATGCCTTGCCAGTCTCAGGAAGTCACCTGGGTTTGGCTGCCTCACCTACTCACAGTGCCATCCCTGCCCCAGGTGAGCAGTAAGCGAGTGCCTCTGCATTTCAGCGCTTCATCACCTTAACACTGCCAAGTGGAGCCTAGAGGAGATTGGAGTGCTTTTAAGGGTGGAAATAACTGGAAAGACCTGAATGGCAGTCCCACATGGGGTAGCATAGAAGAAAATATTTTGCAGAGTTGCAAGTTCTGGTGGATAAGAGGAGTAGTAGTAGTTATTTTTTTTGTCTTATGGTCTCTTTTTGATTGGTAGCATTTTGTCCAAAGTTTGGCATTCCTTCTGGGTTATCCACTCATCTGGTTCTCATCTTGGTAACTTGTCCCTGGGTTAATAAAGAGAATCAGTTAAATTTACTCTTTAATTCCCAGAAGCACAGGGAATGGGGTTTTATTGCTGGATTTGAAACTGAACAACTGGAAATGTGCCAGACATGGAAAAATTCTGGAAAAGAGGTGGTCCCAGAGATGTAGCTCCTCTGGAGAGCTCCCTATGAGCCTTGTCACTCAGAGAATAATACAAGAATTCATTCTTCCCTCTTGCTGTACTATTTTTCTTTTGTCTAGTTTTATTTTTCCTATTGAAGTGGAGAAGAAATGAATAAGCTGTTGATTTTTAAAGATCTGTGACATTGAAATATGCTAGACTTTTATGAAAATCGGAGTTAGGATTATTTTAGATAGATTTATAAGTTATCTACTTAGTTCTCTGTAGAGAGTTATCTGACTAATTAGTAAAATACAGCAGTTGGATAAGATTAATCAAAATTAGTATCTCTTTACACTCAAGTGTCTACAAAAGAAATTAAAAAAAATTATTAGTGGTTAACCCAGCTGATTGTCTCTTCAGCATTCCTTTTAGTGGACATTCTTGTTGAGGAAAAGCTTATTAAAAAATATTGATCCTGACACAAATATGAAAAATCAAGCACTGTCCAGGTGGGTGAGTATTCATCATGATACTTAGGCATAGTAAGGGCCACTTCAGCACTTCAAAAGTAGAAATGTTTCAAGATAGATATAATCTAAGCTTTAAATTTTTTATTGATTGTGAGGCACAGAATATATACAAAAGACTATATGAAAGTGTATATGTATGATTTTACATCTGACTTTGAATTGCACTCTTACAAGTAGAAGCATATCTGAATTTTTAAAAAGTGAACCATTCCACCATATAGAAAGGAAAATACAAAGTAAAAAAGAAAAACCATACTCCACTCCTTTGAACAATTTTTTCTTTTTTTTTTCCTGAATATAATTTGTTCTTTTTTTAAAGGTTCTTTAAACTAGGTTTTTAATTATAAATTAAATGTTTTGGTGCTTAACCATTTTGTCCCATTGTTCTATTTGTGGAACATCTGTAAACAGTATATTTTATATGTGTATATATATATATGTATGTATATGTGTATGTATATATATGTGTATATGTGTATATATATGTATGTATATATGTCTATACATATATACACACACACACTGTGCCTATAACAATAATGATAAGAACACAATTTTATTTTTTTTCCTTTTTTTTTTTTTTTTAATAGAGAATTTTTCAATATTTATTTTTTAGTTTTCGGCGGACACAACATCTGTGTGTGTATGTGGTGCTGAGGACCGAACCCAGGCTGCACAAATGCCAGGCGAGCTCGCTACCGCCTGAGCCACATCCCCAGCCCACAATTTTAATAATAATTAATATAATTACATATATATTATGACTTTCAAGCTATTTTAATACATTGTTGTCATTATAATAATACAGCATTGAAAACTTGGGACTTTATGGGTTAAGAGCAGTGCAGACAACTGGAGGATCATCTTTTATTTATAAACTAACTTGGGAACTAATCTGGGACTAAAGCTATTTTGCTTTGTCATGTGTTTGGATATTTGTCTGTCTAGGGATGAGAAAGCCTACTAAGTTAAGATTTTTGCTCATATGCAAGAAGTTTTGTGAGTTTAGTCAGTGACTGTGGAGAGAATTTTTTTATTTTAAATAAAATTTATTTTCTTTAAGAAAAAAAAAATTTTTTTTTTTGTAGGTCTGCCAGTGGCAATTCCAAACTTGGGTCCCTCCCTGAGCTCTCTGCCTTCTGCTTTGTCTCTGATGCTCCCAATGGGTATTGGGGATCGAGGGGTGATGTGTGGGTTACCTGAAAGAAACTATACCCTACCTCCACCACCTTACCCCCACCTGGAGAGCAGTTACTTCAGAACCATTTTACCTGGTAAGTTTTATAGTTCTTTGTTAGAAAAAAAAAAAAAGCACAGAGCCAACTTTTAAACACAGTTCTTGAAGATTTGAATACGACTCTATTTTTCTTTGTCATTACTAGATATTAATGCCAAGGTTGCGGGGGTTGTTTATATTTATGTTCTTTCCTCTAAGAATGTGTACATATTCATTCTTTCTTTTTTGCTACCAGGGATTTAACTCAGGGATGCTTAACCTCTGAACCACATCACCAGTCCCCAGCCCCCCCTTTTTTTTTTTTTTTTTAAAAATTTCAGATAGGATCTTACCAAGTTGCTTAGGGCCTCACTGAGTTGCTGAGGCTGGCTTCAAATCTGCGAACCTCCTGCTTCAGCATTCTGACCTGCTAGGATTACAGGCATGTGCCACCATGCCTGGCTAATGTATTCACATAGCAGTTTGACTAACATGAATTTGTTAATTGCATATAAACAGTTTTTCTTTTTCCTCCTTTGGCATCTTCTTGGTTCAGTTTTTTCTTTTTTTTTTTTTTTTTTTTGGCGGGGTGGTGGGTACTGGGGATTGTATCCAGGGGTGCTTTTCTGTTGAGCCACATTTTAATTTTTAATTAAATTTTATTTATTTTTATTTTTTATTTTTTTGTGATGTTGGGGATTGAACCCAGAGCCTTGTGTATACAAAGTAAGCACTCTACCAACTGAGCTATATCCCCCAACCCTTTTTTTATTATTTAAAAAAAATTTTTTTAAATACTTTCAGTTATAGATGGACACAATACCTTTATTTTATTTATTTATTTATTTATTTATTTATTGTGATCGAACCCAGTGCCTCACATGTGCTAGGCAAGTGTTTTACCACTGAGCCACAACCCCAGCCCCCTTTTTTATTATTTTAAGACAGGATCTCACTAAGTTGCTGAAGCTAGTCTTGAACTTGTGATCCTCCTGCCTCAGCCTCCCGAGTTGCTAGGATTATAGGCGGTTGCTGCCGCATTGGGCTTTTGATTCAGTGTTTCTAATATCTACCCACCACATAACCCTGCTGCAGTGCCATTGTTTTTTAAAATTTATTGAATTTTTGTTCTTTAGAAAAGTGTTAGAGGGAAACTGTCAAAGTCCCTGCGAACATCTTTTTAGTGTACTTCCTGTCTTTTATTTTGGGTATAGGCTTTTATTGTTTTTCATAATTAAGGTCGTATTTGCAAATAATTGCATGCATGATTGTTTACTTTTTAACTTAGTAGTTTGCTCTGCTCTGCATATTTTTCCATGCTGTTGTGTGCTTTTCATAATTATCCTTTTTAATGACTCATTCCATTCTACTGAACACATATTCTGTAGTCATTATATTAGTCTTTATTGCTGCACAGTTTGGTTTTCCAGGTTTTACTCCCATTGTAAGTGATGTTGTTATAAATATCTTTGTGTATAATATTTACAAAAATGCATTTAGGGAAAGACATCATAATCAGAATTTCTTGTGCAAGATGATGTGAGTATTTTTGAGGTTCTTCATAGATGTACTTTTCAAAGAGGTTTTAGTAATTTACACTATACTAGCAGCGCAACAAGTACCATTTCACTACGTCCTTACAAGCACAAGTTCAAAAGTTTTTTTGGAGTTGGGAACGTGGTAGAGCACTTGCTCAGTATGCATGAGGCCCTGGTTTCCATCCCAACACTACACTCTGTATGTTCTGTTTCAATAGAATTGGTACATTTGTGACTTGTTTTGGGTAGAGTTTAATGTGTTGTGATAGTTTAGTCAGTTAACTTAAATATAATTTATTAGTAGAAGATTTTAACAAAATCTGCATTCAAATCATTTGTTTAGTTTCTTAATAGAGCAAATTTTAGCATCTTAGGACTCAGGAATTACAACCATGTAAATATTAAAGGAAGCATTTAAATGACTTATTTCCACCTGGCCTCAAAGGAATATGGCTAATTTTTTAGGATTTCACAGGAAAAAACTTATTTATATTATAAGTAGGTTGCTATTTATAAAATATGGATATTGATTAAATTGAAGTAGATTTTAGTTACATTTATAAGGAAAATAGTTTCTAGTACTTGGAATTTTTAATATATAGCAATGTAAAAAGTCTCTGACACCTAATCTTTTGTTTTTCTCAGGCATTTTATCTTATTTAGCTGACAGACCACCTCCTCAGTACATCCATCCCAACTCTATAAACGTTGATGGTAATACAGCATTACCTATCGCCAATAACCCATCAGCACTTGATCCCTATCAGTCCAATGGAAATGTTGGATTAGAACCAGGCATTGTTTCAATAGACTCTCGTTCTGTGAACACACATGGCGCCCAAAGCCTTCATCCCAGTGATGGCCATGAGGTGGCTCTGGACTCAACAATTACCATGGAGAACGTTTCTAGAGTTACCAGCCCAATCTCTACTGATGGAATGGCAGAGGAGCTTACAATGGATGGTGTTGCAGGCGAGCATTCCCAAATCCCAAATGGCTCCAGAAGTCATGAACCTCTCTCTGTGGATTCTGTGAGCAACAACCTTGCAGCAGACACAGTAGGACATGGTGGTGTGATACCCATTCATGGGAATGGCCTGGAGCTCCCTGTGGTCATGGAAACAGACCACATTGCAAGTCGAGTCAACGGGATATCTGATAGTGCTCTCAGTGATTCCATCCACACCGTGGCCATGAGCACCAACTCTGTAAGCGTGGCACTCTCTACCTCACACAACCTCGCCTCCCTAGAATCTGTTTCCCTCCATGAAGTTGGCCTCAGCTTAGAACCTGTGGCTGTCTCCTCCATCACCCAGGAGGTTGCTATGGGTACAGGTCATGTAGATGTATCTTCAGACAGTCTTTCTTTTGTACCACCGACACTGCAAATGGAAGACTCCAATTCAAACAAGGAAAACATGGCAACTTTGTTTACAATTTGTGAGTGTGTTTAGCTTTTCTTTTTGGAAATATTGGTTTTAAAAGGCCATCCTGCCTAAGAGGTTTAGATACAAAATCTGGCACAGATTAAGGGAGTATGGAAAGTTATTGGACTTTGGAATTTTTATTTTCCTTTGTAATCTTTGATTATTGTGGCTCCTTTTTCTTAATTAAGCTAAATGGTGTATACTTCACTGGTTGTTCCAGTGTCTACTTGAAGAAAAGTAGTCATTTCTGTATTTTACAGATAAGTATTAAGGTGTTTCCAAGGTCTTACAAATAGAGTTCCAGGAGTAAACTGTCCTAAAGCTAAATTGTGTGACATGACTTGTGTACTTTCAACATAAGACCAAAAGAAAAAAATTATGAGATCACTTTTATAACCCTATGGAAAATATAAGTGGATGTCAAGGCATTTTTTTTCCCCTTGGAATACATATCATGTAGAAGTTCTTTTTATTGGGCAACAATAACAAAAAATTGTAAAAAGTGATCACACTGTGTGCCTCATTCATGCAAGCAACATGTTGTGCTTTTAGTATACCACCTGTGTGCTAGATGCTGGGAATAGAGCAGTCTTTAGAGAGCCTCTGTGATGGGAAGCATAGATAAGTGGATAGGTACTGAGCTGCCACAATTTAAGTGAGGGGTGATGATTTTCCAAGTGAGAGTAGAGATATTGAGGATGAAGAAATTAGAGATCATTTACAAAGAACTCAGCAGAGCTTGTGGACTGGATAAAGTTGGGGAAGGGGAAAAGTTTAAGAGAAAACCCTTATTTTTGGCATGGGAATCTAGGTAGATAGAATAATGAAAGAAGAGATTGGATTATTACATTTTTTGGAGTGAGGGTAAGGTCAGTTTTAGGCATTTTGATTTGTGTCTAAGATGCCCAGTAGAAATGTCTAATGAAATGTTGAATCTGGAGCTCAGGAAGGATCTGACTGTAAATATTTAGAGAGTGTGAAGACCAAGATGTTGACTGTGGCTAAACTGTCTAATTAGTATAAGTGTACAATGAGAAGAGAAGAGGGCAAGGGGTATCTAGACAAGCAATGGAGGGAGAGCTTCCAAAGTAGACTGCCCAGGAGAGTCAAAAAGGAGGAAGCCCACCATGGTGTGGGCTGCAGAAGTCAATCAATATGTTGATTATGTTGTATTAACCTTTAAAATCTCAAGTTTATAAGGTGTAAATATTTTTTCTTTTTCGTATTGGGAATTGAGCCCAGGAGTACTTTATCACTGAGGTACATCTCCAGCCCTTTTTGTAGTTTGGGTCTCACCTGGTTGCTAAGGGTGACCTGGAACTTTGGATCTTCCTGCTTCAGCCTCCCAAGTTGCTGGGATTACAGGCATGCACCACTGCACCTGGCTTATGTGTACATTTTAAAGTATACAGTGTAGCAATTTTCAGTATATTCAAAGGTTATGCTGCCATTACCACTGTCTTAATTCCAAACATTTTAATCAACCCATAAAGAAACCTTATACCAGGGCTGGGGATGTGGCTCAGTGGTAGAGCTCTCGCCTTGCACCTGTGCGGCCCTGGGTTCAATCCTCAGCACTACATAAAAATAAATAAATAAATAAAGGTATTGGGTCCAATTACAACTAAAAACTAAATATTAAAAAAACGAAGCCTATACCCATTAGCAGTTATTCCTCATGCCCTCCTTCTACTCAATTCTCAGACAACTATTAATCTACTTTCTATTTCTATGGATGTGTCTATTCTAAACATTTCATGTAAGTGGAATCATAGTATATGTGACCTTCTGTCTCTGGCTTCTTTATTTAGCATATTATTATCATGGCTCATCCATATTGTAGCATGTGTCAGTACTTCATTCTTTTTTATAGCTGTTATTTCACAATCTGAATATGCTGCACTTTAGCCGTTCATCAGTGGATGTACTTTAGGTTGTTTCTACTTTGTGGCTATTATGAATACTGCTATGAACATTCATGTACAAGTTTTTGTATGAACAGATGTTTTTAATTGTCTTGGATACACATATAGAAGTGGAATTACTCTATTTTTGACTTTAAAAAGTTTGGATTAGGGAAATAGCTCAGTGGTAGAGCACTTGACCAACATGCATGAGGCCCTGGGTTTAAAGCCCAGCACTGCAGTATAGATACATAAATAAATACACGCTTTTACAAATTTTAATTGACACACAGTATATGACACACATTTATGGGGTACAATGTTTATATTTAACCTCTTGGGAATCAGCCAGACTATTTTCTGAAGTGGCTGTACCATTTTGCATTCTTAGCAATATATGAAGGTTCCAATTTCTCTATATTCCTGCCCACATATATCATTTCTTTATGTTTTTATTATAACCTAGTAATGTGAAGTAGTATCCCATTGTGGTTTCTGCTTGTATTTCCCTAATGACTAATTATGTTAAACATCTTTCCTGTACTTACTGCCATTTGTGTGTCTTTTGGAGAAACCTTTAATCATTTTTTCTTTTAATCAAGTAGTAGTTGAAGTAGTAGCTATACTACTGTTTTTCCCGAGTATGAAAACTTGGACATTGTAATCCACTGAAGTGCAAATTTCAAATGGATTGTTTAGCAAAATAAGACAGATCGCGGTGGTTCTAAGGTTTTTTTTTTTGTGTTCAGCTACTTTGTGAATGAATTTGGAAAGTCTGAACTCAGTCATTGAATAACAGTGTCATGAATACTGTTCCTTAACACACAGAAAGGGAAGTTTAAAGAACAGAACAAAACGTGTGGAAAAGCACATGAGCTGGGCATGGTGGCACATGCCTATAATGCCAGCACCTGGGGAGTTTAAGGCAGGACTGTTACAGGTTTTGAGGCCAGTCTGGGCAAGTTATTGAAACCCTGTCTCAAAGAAGAAAAAAGACTGGGGATGTAGCTAAGTGGCAGAGCACCCTTAGGTTCAATCCCCAGGACTGAAAACAAACAAAACCCCAAAACCAAAGAACAGTGAATGAAGGCAGTACCCTCTCTAACAATGCAAAAAGATGGAGTGCATGAAAAATAAGAAAAATTTGGTGCACGTGGGTCTGCAAGAATATAATTTTTCCTCTTCTCCACAAGAGTGGATCATTGGTTATTTTTTTTTAAATTTTTTTTTGAGAGAGAATTTTTTTTTTTTTTTAAAGAGAGTGAGAGAGAGAATTTTTAATGTTTATTTTTTAGCTCTCAGCGGACACAACATCTTTGTTTGTATGTGGTGCTGAGGATTGAACCCGGGCTGCACGCATGCCAGGCGAGCGTGCTACCACTGAGCCACATCTCCAGCGAGAGAATTTTAATATTTATTTTTTTTAGTTTTCGGCGGACACAACATCTTTGTATGTGGTGCTGAGGATCGAACCCGGACAGCATGCGTGCCAGGCGAGTGCGCTACCACTTGAGCCACATCCCCAGCCCCATTGGTTATTTTTTTAATTTATTTTTTGTCTTCTTTAGAATGTGTTGTCAAAACTAGGCTTGGTGTAGCTGGCTCTGACCCCTCTGTCATCTTTTCTCCCACTCTGCATGACTAACATTTCAATTCAGTTTTCTCTCACGGTTCAGAATTGTAATCATTTGCACTTTAGGGTACCCTATCCAAAAGTATTGCTTATCTACTTAATGTAAGGGATAATAATACTTGGTTATTGAAGTAATACAGTGTTACTTTTTAACTTTTATTGAAGTGCTGGGGATCAAACCAAGGCCCTGTTTGTGCTAGGCAAGTGCTCTACCATGGTGCTATTTCTCCAGTTTCTCTTTCATGCACTGAATAGGAAATTTATCCTGTCAAATCTAAAGAAAATTAGATTTTGTTGAATCCTGAAGAAGTATAAGCTGTTCGTTGATTACAGTATTTCTGTTAGAACTGTCTTACTGGTTACATTTTAGGAATTAGCATTTAAATTTAAAAAAAAAAAAGAAGGTCATAATTTAACCTGTGAACTACACCCATTTGTGTTTCTCAAATTTGGTCTTTATAGGGTGCACTCTTTGTGACCGGGCCTATCCTTCAGATTGCCCTGATCATGGACCAGTGACTTTTGTTCCTGATACTCCAATAGAGAGCAGAGCAAGACTTTCTCTCCCAAAGCAGCTTGTTCTCCGCCAGTCAATTGTGGGAGCAGAAGTTGGTAAGAATCTTGGCACATCAAGTTTTTTTTTTAATAGGGTAGAGCTGTAAGAGGGGATGTGTATAATTTATATTAATTTAGTGATTATTAGTTGATCCAAAAATCTGTTTATGGCTTAGGATAGTTTTAGAGAATATTTGTCGTATTTAGGGTGCAGTAAATAAAGTTGCAAATTTATTGGGCAACCTCCCCTTTTTTAGAATCAGGTTTAAGTAGAGGAAAGAGTCCTGGCTTGAGTCTTTGAAGCCTTGACTTTTATTCTAACTGTTTCATGCACTAATAATTATACTAACAGCACACTCCTTGAAACTTGTATGGCACAAAAGATGTTTGATCAGATATTTGTAAGTTCTCTAATACTCCTTCGGAAAAAGGAATAAGGAATGTGGACTGTCAGAGTACGTTTTCCCATATGTGAATTTAACGTGGCTTTCAAGTTCCTATGCTGTTTTTTGAAGATATGAAATTAGATTTATTATTCTTTTAGCTACTGCTTGGGCTTAAGCCTTGAAAGTGCTAAATGGCTTATATAATATAGAGCAGTGCCTTAAGCATGAAAGATTTTAGAAGTTTGATTTTTTTATAGTAATTGCTTTATATTTTTATAATAGAACAATGTTTTCTATACTTTCTTGTGTATTAACTTTAATGTATTTGGAAGGACAAGGTCAGTTTCCTTATATATACAACTAGGTTTAGGAATTTCTGATACTGCTTCTTACTCTACATTTCTTCTGAGTGTTGTTGAATCCATTCGTTGCATTTTACTTATATACAGGCCAGGACCTGTACAGGCCTAAGCTACCTCTCAGGAGTGCTGACTTGTTTGTAGTATTTAACATTGAAAATGAGTCTTTGAATGAGTTAAGCACCTGTGTCAGTATCCTGTTAGTTTTTAAAGTCATTGATTGTGTAGTTGATGTCCGTCTACTGATAGGTGTATGGACTGGAGAAACCATTCCTGTGCGCACCTGCTTTGGGCCCCTTATTGGTCAGCAGAGTCACTCCATGGAAGTAGCAGAGTGGACAGACAAGGCTGTTAACCATATTTGGAAGGTCAGTGCCGATGTAATTTTTCTGAATTTTGGCTGTGTTTATTATAATGCTGTAGTTTTAAAAAGTGATATAAAATAAGAATTAGCCAGAACTAATGCAGTGAGTGCCATTTAGCTGTCAGTCTTTTCTTTAATATTACATTCTTTTTGTTATTCTTGATGGTCAGATTCTATAGCACAATACCAGCTACTGAACAAACAGGATAAACTGTTCTTATCTCCATTTTGTGAACTAATCCAACCGTTTTGATCCTTTTTATGCATTTTAATTACTTGCTGCAGCTGAAGCTGAGAAATTTGTTTATGTGATGTTTTTAATTAAAACATTCCTTAAATATTTAGCTTAAGAAACAATTCTAGGATTGGAAACTAAGATTATTTCTCTATTTTTCTAATGGAAATGCAAAATTTTGACATACATATTTGTTCTTATAACATGTTTTGATAGAATCTCAATGAATGCTTGCAAAATTGAAGTGGTGAGAAAGTAGGTCTTATGATAATCAGAAAAGTAAGGTGCCACTGTCATTGGGGACTTCAGTTTTGATGTCCAAAATAGAACACAAAACAATGTTAGGTCCAACAGGAAAAATGAGGTGGGGCAGTCTTTTGCCCTTAGTGAATAGTCAGTTAGTTATTCTGTGCCTGCCTTGTGGTAGTGATGAATATGGTTGGATAAGAAGACTTTTGTTTTTCTTTTTTGTATATTTTCTAACTAAAAAGTGAATAATCAAGAACAAAGTCATTTTGTACTCTTGAGTACTAACTAGAGGTCTCTGATGCTCTTTAATCTGTTGTGAGATAGGATTGGTGAAGTGATAAGCATGTGTAGAAGGCAGTCATGTATTTTCACACTGATTAGGAAAGTGGGGATCTACTGTACATGAGTAGATGAATGGATTGCTGACCAAAATTTAGTGTAGTACTTTATCACTTGTCAATTCATGTGACGCGTGTCTGCTTTCTTTTGGCAGATATACCACAATGGTGTCCTAGAATTCTGCATCATTACAACTGACGAAAATGAATGTAATTGGATGATGTTTGTGCGCAAAGCCAGGTAAGAGTAGTTGTGGATGAGAGAAGTTGTTTCCCTTCTGGTGTTTTTCAGTAAGAAGCTTTGTATAAAATATAAAAGGACTGAAGAATCCACGTTACATAAGTACCTGCACATATTTAAAACTAAGACTTTTCAATATCGGCACTCTACTGGTGGTTGAATAATGGTGATTATAAATCAGAACACACAGAACTACCCAATTTTTTATTTTTAGTTGTAGAGGGACACAACACTTTTGTTTATTTAGTTTTTTTATATGATGCTGGGGATTGAACCCAGCGCCTCACACATACTAGGCAAGCGCTCTACCACTGAACCACAACCCCAGCCCAGAACTACCCTGTTGAGCCATAGCCGAGTGGGGATGGCACCTAGCATTTTGCCAGTAGGAGTGGTTGAAAGGTGACACCATGCCAGCGAGCCATTAAGATGATGATAATTAAGTTAAGCTGTGTATAATTGCTGTGACTGGATGATGCTGGATTGAAACAGGCTGTGTATTCAGTTGTATATAGACCCCTGCAGTCCTGCAATAGGGTGGCTCCTGCTGCCTGGGGTGCCCACTACTTGGGAGTTCTCACCGAGTTGCCTGAAGTGGAAGGGTGAGAGAGTTCCTGAGGAGGGTGCATCAGGTGTTGATGGAGTTCGGATAATAAAGGAGTTCCTATAATAAAGGAGTTCCTGTTTGAACCTACAAGTGGCTCCTGACCTCCCGATTTGGTGCTCAGCCAAACTGCAGCACTATCTTTTTTTAATGAATAGGTTCTTCAGCTTACCAATGTAATAAGGAATGTATAGTCATTGAATTTGCAAATTTTTCTTTTTTATTGGCTCTTAGTCAACCCTTTAGACTATTACTGGAGTTAATTTTTTTCAAATGTGCGATACTGAGGATTGAACTCAGGGGAATTCTACCATTGAGCTATGTCCCCCGTCCTTTTTAGTTTTTATTTTTGAGATAGTTTCTCACTAAATTTCCCAGGCTGGCCTTGAACTTGTGATCCTCCAGCTTCAACCTTATGAGTCATGTCATCACAGGCATGCGCCACTGTGCCTGGCTGGAGTTAATTCTTGTTAGTTAGCCGTCTCTGTATCTTTGTCTTAATATATTTTTTTAATTTTTTTTTTAATAACTTTATTTATTTTTATGTGATGCTGATAATCAAACCCAGTGCCTCACACATGCTAGGCAAGTACTCTACCACTGAGCCACAACCTCAGCCTTTAATATTTTTTTAAGACTAAATTTCATTTATAATTTTTGCTTCCAGTAGTAGGCTGCAGTGTTTCTGACTATAAAAGAATCAACTAATGCACTTAAGTAACAATTCTATATCTCTAGAAATTTCTCTTAATAGGTGGGATAGGGAATTACAAAAATGATTTAGAGAAAATAGTTCTAAGCTTTCATATAGGAATTCACTACAGGGGGGACAAGATACTGAATATATATTTCAAAATTAATATGCTTAAGGCGCTGGGAATGTAGTTCCTGGGAATGCGCTTGCCTAGTTTATAAAAGGTCCTGGGTTCAGTCCTCAGCTTTGGGAAAATATACGCTAAGCCCGGTTTGGTGGTAAATACTTGTAGTCCTAGCTAGTCGGGAAATTGAGGCAGGAATGTTGCTTTGGCCAGGAGTTTGGTGCCAGCCTGGACAACATAATGAGACACCAAAAAAAAAAAAAAAAACCAGCCAAAAATAATATGCTTAATCTATTAAATGTGATGACTTAGGAATCGAGAAGAGCAAAATTTGGTGGCTTATCCCCATGATGGAAAAATTTATTTCTGCACCTCACAAGACATCCCTCCTGAACATGAACTGCTTTTCTATTATAGTCGGGATTATGCTCAGCAAATTGGTAAGTTTGTAAGACTTAACTTGTCATGAATCTAGCATAGTGAGAATGCCAAGGACCAGAAATATCCTTTGGTAATGATTTACACGACAGCTGAAGTAAATCATGAACTTTTTTATATGTAAAAGCAAGCTGTTACTATCTATATTTGGGCGTTAAAAATCTGTGAAGCCCATCATAAGGTGAATGTTACTGACCAAGCAATATTAATGTAAAATGAGCTTTTATGGTACAACATTGAGTTGAGCTTTAAGCTTCTGAAATTACTTTTTAAGCCAGCAATATTGAGATTTAAGCTCTTTCTACTGTTCCATTGACAGTGATATTTAAAGAGGCCATATAATGCAGTGTTTACCAAGTGCTTTCTTATGTGCTTGGTACATTATTTGAATTGGTAGGGATAGAGTACTGAATAAGACATGTTAATTTTATGGGCAGTGGACAAGTTGAAAATTTTGTTAGGAGATTTGTAAGGAACAATTATTAATATCAAGGACAGTTTTGAAATTTAAGTCTCAGGAAACATTGAGTAATTCTTGTTTTAAAGGTGTTCCTGAACATCCAGATGTGCACCTCTGTAACTGTGGCAAGGAATGCAATTCCTACTCAGAGTTCAAAGCTCATCTGACCAGCCACATCCATAACCATCTCCCTAGCCAGGGTCACAGCAGCAATCATGGTCCAGGCCACAGCAAAGAAAGAAAATGGAAGTGCTCAATGTGCCCCCAAGCTTTTATCTCTCCTTCCAAACTGCACGTCCACTTTATGGGTCATATGGGTATGAAGCCCCACAAGTGTGACTTCTGTAGCAAGGCTTTCAGTGATCCAAGCAATCTGCGGACCCACCTCAAGATACATACTGGTAAGCTCTGTAGGACCATCAGAATGGAATTTTTGCAACAATTTGAGATTGCAGGTAGAGTTGAAATAAAATGTCTGTTTTACTTAGTTTTTAACTGCAATGACCAAAAGACCTGACAAGAACAACATAGAAAAAGAAAAGTTTTTTGAGGGGCTCATAGTTTTCAGAGGTCTCAGTCCATAGACGACCAATTCCACTGCTCTGGGCCTGAGGTGTGGGCTAATGTATGGTGGAAGGGCATGGCAGAGAAAGGTCTGGACATTGCAATCAGGAAGCAGAGAAAGAGCTCCGGTCACCAGGGACAAAATATAAATCCCAAAGGCACACCCCCAGTGACTTATCTCCTTTAGCTACACCCTGCCTACAGTTACCATCCAGTGAATCCATATCAGTGAATTAATCTACTGATTACATCAAGGTTCTCACCATCCTGCCTACAGTTGCCATACTGTGAATCCATATCGGTGAATTAATCGGATTATGTCAAGGCTCTCATAATCTAATCATTTCACCTCTGAGAATTCTTGCATTGTCAAACACATGAGCTTTAGAGGATAGCACATATCTAAACCATAACAATGTCAGGGAAAGAATCCAGATGACTATTGATGGGTCCTCCTTGGGTAGAAGACCTTTGTGGGATGGACAACTGAGACTCCTTGGAGGGGTTAGTAAAGTGTTTGATTTTCTTTTGGGGGGGGTGGTGAAGGGACAAGGGGTACCAGGGCACTTGACCTCTGAGCCACATCTCCAGCCCTATTTTGTATTTTATTTAGAGGCAGGGTCTCACGGAGTTGCTTAGTGCCTCACTTTTGCTGAGGCTCTGAACTCGTGTTCTTTCTGCCTCAGCCTCCCAAGCCTCTGAGATTATAGGCATGTGTGGTGCTTGATTTTCTAGGTGCTTCCACCAGTAGTTTGAATGTATTTGGAAAAAATGCAGTTCATCAGAAAGTTGGTCATTGTGTTTGGACTTAAAGCAAAGGGAATTCCCTAGAAGTAGCCTGAGCTTCCCACTACATAGTTCAGCCCTGGTCACGAGCCTCTTTGAATAGTGCTCTGTGAACTGCCCAGATTTGATTTTTGCATTTCTATCTTCTAAACTCCATACAAACCAACCCTTTCTTTCAGCTCTTATTTTTTTTATAGACTCTAGAACTGATGAGACTTTTGCTTTCTTGGGTGATTTGTTCTCTAAGTCTTCAGAAGGAAGTTTTTAATTTATTTTTTATTTTTTTGTTTTTGAGTACTGGGAATTGAACCCAGGGTCTCACACATGCTAGACAAGCAGTTTACCACTGAGCTGTATCCCCAGCCCTTTTTATTTTAAGACAGTGTCTCCCTAAGTTGCCCAGGCTGGCCTCAAATTTGTAATTCTCTTGCCTCCATTTCTGGAGTAGCTGGGATTACAGGAGTGTGCCACCACACTTGACCTTCTCCATGTTTTTGTGTTAAGACTGAGTAGCTACGGCTGAGATCTGTGACCCAACAAAATCTTATTCTTTCTAGCCTTTAAGAATAGGTTTGTGAGCCCTTGGACTTGGATCTATTTATGTACTCTTAAAAGGATTGTATGGTTTATGGGGTCATACTATATGTTAAAGGGAGAACAGTAGAAAATGTAGGTTATAAAAATATGTTTGCCTACAGATGAGTGCTAGAATTCATGAGCTATTCTTTTGTTAGGTAGGGCACTGGGATTATTAGTATTGTTCTCACCAATTTGGTTTCACGTGTCAGCTATAAACATTAATACATATTGAGATAAGAGGTCCTATAAGTAGAGCAGGTTTATTAGCTTTAGTTGCAAAATATAAATTAAATGCCTATGAGTGTTTCTAGGGAGACAATCCTAGAAAGCAAAGTTCAGGTACCAGCCAGTTCTGCTACATTCTTGCCTTGCTGCATTCCTGTATATAATTTATCTTTGAGAATGCTAGTAGTTGTTTTATACTCAGTGTGATATTTTGGGTAAATTTGCAGGTCAGAAGAACTATAGATGTACTTTGTGTGACAAGTCTTTCACCCAGAAAGCTCACCTGGAATCACACATGGTCATCCACACGGGTGAGAAGAATCTCAAGTGTGATTACTGTGATAAGCTGTTTATGCGCAGGCAGGACCTCAAGCAGCATGTACTCATCCACACACAGTAAGTAGCCTTGCAGCCATGATGCCATCCTTGGGTGGTGGGCTTAGCCTGCCAGCTCCAGAACTTGCAGGTGCTGACGCTATCTGTTCGCTGCCCTGGTGCATGGTAGATGCCTCCTGTGTTCTACATAGCCAAGCAGAGTTTTTTGTTTTACCCTGGAAGCAAATAAACATTTACCATGGTGTGCGGCACTGGATGCTGAAAAACCATAGGAGAAGGGTGCTTAAGCCAGTTTGGGGGTTTGGTAAGGCTTCTTGGTAGTTTGAGCCAAGTTTTAAGATAAATTAGAAGTTTTCATGGAGGCAGAGGAGGGTAAGGAGTGAGAATGGTACTCTAGGTAGGTGGGGGAGAATGTCAGGCAGAAACAGATGCAGAAAGGACTTTTGAATGTGGTTCTTTATAGTTAGAACATAGTGTGCATATGAGAGAAGAGTGGAGAGAGAGGCAGCCACCGTGCCATGAAGAGCCTCTTATTCTACAAAGAAATTAATTTTATTCTGTAAACAATGGCAGGCCAGGGAAGGATCTGCTCCCCCACCACTGCAGTGTATCAAGAACTGTTCTGTGCTGTGTGTGTGTGTGTGTGTGTGTGTGTGTGTGTGTGTGTGTGTGAACAAGAAAACAAATAAGTTGCCATCTTAGCCATTTTTAGGTATTCAGAGCAGTAATATTGGTTATATTCATGTGGTTGTGCAGGCACTGCAGGACTTTAAGGAAAGGGTGTCGAGTTGTGGTGACATACCCATTCTATGAAGGTCACTCTGACAGCTGGACAGAGAATGAAGAGGAAAAGACCAAATATCAGGAGATTGATTAGGAATTTATTGCTGAATCCAAGTGTAATAAATTCTCCAACCTGCATTAGTGACAGTAGTAGTAGATGAAACAGATTTTACCATTGTCCCTTTGAATGAGTTTGGAAGAGGGAGAAAATATTATGTAGTTGCTCTTAAGAGATCCATATTCACCGGAGGCTTTCTGATACCAAAGCAAAGTGTTTCTCCAAACTCTACAGAACATTCTACAGAATGCTTTGGTATCAGCTTTTATGTTTGCTTTCTAACTTAACTACAGTGCAGCCTGAAATGCTAAATGTCCAGGGATTCTGAATCTACATCTCAACTCTCAAAAGGACTTTTTTTTTTTTTTTTGAGATAGGGGTCTTTCTAGGCAACCTAGGTCTATGCCTAGGTTGGTTTTCAACTCTTGATCTTCCTCAGTCTCCCAAATAGTTGGGATCACAGGTGTGTACTACTGTGCCTGGCTGTAAAGGACCTTTTAAAATAGTCTTTAGTTTTATTATTATTATAAAATTTTGGGAGATTAGATACTAATTATCAAAATGGAATTGTACAAGATTAGAGCTGAAAGACCTCTGGGATCATCTAGTCAAACAGCCTAGATATCTAAGGTCGCCCCCACTAAATACCACAGGCTGAATGGCTTAAATAGCAGGGGAGGAATGCAGAATGAGAAAGCCACAATGAGCCAGGAAAAAGGCGCCCACTAGAACCCAGCACACCAACACCCTGATCTCTGACTTCCTACCCCAGAATGGTGAGAAACCCCTTCTGTTGTTTAAGCCACCCAGTCTTCCATTTGGGAGTAGGTAGGGAGAAAGGGACATGAGAGAGAGAAAATGAGATCTTTGGTGTCTTCCTCTTATTGTAAGACCTCTAATCCCACCATGGAGGTCTCGAACTCAGACTTATTGTCTCCTGTAGTCCCTTCCTCATGCTGTAGTTAGGCCTTCAACCTGTGACTGGGGGATATGGATATGGAGAGGTATTCTATCTCTAGTGTGAGAAGCAGTTGGTGCCAGGACCCACCCTTAGGGATTCTAATTTAATTGGTCTGGGGTGGAGCCCTGACCTTGCTAGTTTAGGAAGCTCCCCAGGTGCCCTGTGTCCAGCCAGGGTCGAAAACTGATGACTTCCTCCAAACAAAAGACTGATTTGTACCATATCTCTGGCAAGTGGACATATTGTTGTTTCTTGACTATCACATAGTTGTGGAAGTTTTGCTTGAGTCAAGCTGACATCAGCCTCATCCTTTCACTCTATAACTCCCCTCTGGAATGAATACACAAGTAAACTTGTTTCTTTAAATTGATAGCCTTTTATGCAATTTATGGATTCTGCCATTATCCCATTAACCTTCTTTTTGTCAGACTAAATGTCCCTAGTTTCTGTAACTTTTTATCATATCACCTTGTTTCACATTTGTTTCAGGAAACAGTGAAGTTACTATCTTCCTTGACCTTGAAGATGTGCGTATCTTTTGACCTTGGATCCAATTATATTGCTCTTGTGTGTGTTCTTAGAGAAACGCTTACATGTTGCAGAATAGTTTTAAAGGGTAGAAATGTTCATAACAGTCTTACCTATGTTAATAAAAAAACGGAAAATCATCAGAATATCCCTATTAGACAAACCCAGTACCACAAAGTTGTGGTCTGTTTATAAATAATATATAGCAATGGAAGGGAACACACTACTGATATGTGATTGAATTTCACAAGCTTCATGTTCAGTGAAAGAAGCAAGACACAAAAGAAATATAAATAGAGTGGTTCTGTTTGTGAAAAACCTAAAAGGGGCAAAATTAGCATATGCTATTCAAACTGTACCTATGTTTTATAACCTCCGTGTCTCCTATAAGAAAACTAAACCTCAGACTGTGGTTGTGGCTCAGTAGTAGAGCGCTCGTCTTGCACGTGTAGGACCCTGGGTCTGATCCTCAGCACCACATAAAAAATAAATGAGTGAAATAAAGGTAAAAAAACCCAAAAAACTAAACCTGATTCTAAAAGGGTAGAATCTGACAAAGGCTAAGGTTATAAAGAATTCAGTGTGTGCCTCATATGTCATTTGTAACCCCAAATCAAATGTTTTTCTTGTGTCCCTCTTAGAGAACGCCAGATCAAGTGTCCCAAGTGTGATAAGCTGTTTTTGAGAACAAATCACTTGAAGAAGCATCTCAATTCTCATGAAGGAAAGCGAGATTATGTCTGTGAAAAATGTACAAAGGCATATCTAACCAAATATCATCTTACCCGCCATCTGAAGACCTGTAAAGGACCCACCTCCAGTTCCTCAGCACAAGAGGAGGAGGAGGAAGAGGACTCTGAGGAGGAAGATCTAGCAGACTCTGTGGCAACAGAAGACTGTAGGATTAACAATGCTATGTTTTCAGCAGACGAGTCTCTTACTGCTCATAAATAAAAAAGCAACTGCTTTGGATGGAAAATGCAAAGGGAAAAACACATTTAACGAGTTATCCACTACAGTGGTTTTTATATGAAGTGGTTTCTGATTTCCTTCCAGCCAATAGTCTAAATGGACTGAATGGAAATTGATAAAGCACTTACAAAAGAGCATCTGAATGGAAACACTTTAGAGCAGTCTGGGAGGAGAGGGCATGTGCTGTTTTTAAGTGATGGGCAGGGAGAAAAGGGTCAACTTTTGGGGTCTGTTCTTTCTATGATAATTTGGGTGAAGCATTTATGCCTGAGTGAAAGCAGTCTTCAACCCAAACAAACCAGATTTATTTTAAATTTCTCCCATTATTCCATTTTTCTCCCAGTCCTATGACTTGATGACTCTCTAAACTTGCCATCCTAAGTGCTGACTGTGTTTTATGCAGACTGTTGTGACTCATGCATCACAGAACGGATTGGAGTGTGGAACTTGCAGCTCACAGGTTGAAAGCAGCACCTGCCTTAACCTCTCCTGGCCACTTGGGAATTTAGGGTAAATCATACTTCCCAAATTTTCAGCAGGTGCCTAGAGGGCAAATAAGAAAGGACCCATCTGTCACTAGGTAGTGATTGAGAGAAGAAAAGGAGGAGAGATACCTGGCTGCTGATGGCGAAAGGAATTTTGATGGAAGTCAGGGTAAGTCACCTGGTTATTGTCACATAGAGATCCTTGAAGGATAGCCATGTCTTGGTCTCCAGGAAAGCCTCCAATCATTCAGATGAATGGGACTGGGAGCGCAGAGTGCCCAAATACTGCCTGACAGATTGTCTGCTGACAAGTACAGATGAGTAGATACCTGGCAGAGTGGAACCTCCGTTCATGGAAGAGAAGGAAGGGAACGATCTTCTTTATATTTGGTTTACCCTATGGAAAGTATCAGGACACCATTAAAATTGTTGCCAGCTCAAAGCAACAGATGACTCCAAAGGCATTAGTGCATTTGCAAGGCTGGGTCTTCCCAATTGTCTGTGCTGAAGGACCTATGGAGGATGCCAAAGGATATGGAAGGTAGCGAAAAGTCTCAATGGTCACCAGATGGATCTGTTTTCAGGTCCCAGGGAGCATGCATACCCAGCTTTTCTCAAGAAGCAGACACATCCTTAAGTTTACAGTCGATGGAGCATGCCCTTCTGCTTGAAATCACAACTTCTGGGCTGGAGACGAAGGTTTTGCTGCTAATGTATTTATGGAATGAATGTATTTCATTCAAATTTGTATTCCTCTAGGAAGGATTAAAATAAATTTTTTTTTTTAAATACAGGATTTCTCTTTAATTTTATTTTGTAGAGGAAGGAGATGAGTCTTTTAGGGGAAAATTAGGTATGACTTGAGTTTTTCTAAGGTTAGAAGGGAAGAAAGCTTTTCTTGGATGTTTTAACTTTGAGATCATATTCTGATTGTTACTATGTGATAGTGCTTAAACTGTGCTTCCTGTATCTCAGCCCCCCATCCTCCATCCCCCATATCCCCCCCCCCTTCCTAAGGTGGTGCCTTACTCTGCTGCCTCCTTGCACAACAGGTGAGTCTATAGTTGAGGACATGGTTGACGTGTTCTGGGTGATTAGGGTTAGCTGCTGAAACTTCTCATGAAGCCTCAATAGGGTAGTTCTTGTGCCTGGGGCAGCCCCAAGGTCAGTCTTCTGAAGAGGGGTGGTAGCTCCCACCTCTTCTGGTTCCCCAGAAACCACTGGTGCTGGACTCACTCTCTTCATTTATCTCGGCACACGCTGGGTTAAATTCCTTTAACATGGAAATACTGCACAAGATAGTTAACCTAATGGCCAAAACCCCAAAACAAAAAGAAATTGAGATGTTTAAGTGAGAATGAAGCCGGTATTGCTATTACAACTCTCTTCCATTTTTTACCTTAAGATGATAAATTAGTAACCTCTTATTGGACAGGCCTTTTCTCTGAGCCTTCTCTGTGCCCTTGCAGGTGGCTTCATCCACTGCTGCTGTTGGTAAGTGGTCACGCTGGGAGGCAGACTATTGAATGTGGGCTCTGGAGTCTGTGGAATGGTCTTCTCTGGGCTTCGCAGCATGATGGTTTGTACCCTTGGCCAAATTATGTAACTGGTGCCTTTTAATTTGTAAATAGAGAATGAAGGGGTTCCCTTTTGTTAATATTATTTGGTGTTAGGTTAGTTGACATGTGTCCTCAGCTATTACAATGCTTGCCACACAGTAAACAACAGCTAGTATCATTCAGTTGCATATTAGCCTAGATTTTTTTTATGTTAGCTTAGATTTCTATCCTAAGAAACATTGACTGTAGATGACCCAAGAAACTCTAAACTTTAGAAATACAGTAAAACTGGAATAAATGGTTTTTAAGGCCAAAGCTGAGAAACTGGCTCATAGTATTCTGGAGGGTCAGTTTGTGGATGGCGTTTCCTTCCTTAAAAGGCCGTTGCTCATAATTCTATGTTGTGCTGAGGTGCTCGGCAACCTCAGAAGCAGCAGTAGGCAGCAGTATTGCAGACTAATCGATCAGCCTTTTCACATTGTTGACATGCATACACACCTTGCAGTAAGCACTCCTTTACCTGTCCTGAGAGGTATAACACAAGCCGAAGCTTTTACATCACACAGGTGAATTTACATTATCTGAAAATCGAACTGCCTCCCAGGGGCACACACTGAAGAACAACCTGGCTCCAGATACACAGATGATCACTGTCCACTCACCCCTTTCATATGTTGAAGTCATAACCTCCAGTATCTCACGAGGTGGCCATATTGGGATATGATTAAAGAAGTAATTAAAATGAGGTCCTTAAGATGGGTCCAAATTCAATATGACTGGTGTTCTCATGAGAGGAAGGTTTGCAGGTGGATTCATACGGAGGATAGATAGTGTGAAGATAGGGAGAAGGTGCATATCTGCAAGCCAAGCAGAGGCCTGGGCAGGTCCTTTCTTCACAGCCCACAGACAGTCCTTCTGACACCTTGTCTTGACTTAGGGTCCCCAGAACTGTGGGAGGGTATCTGTCATTCCAGCCCTGCAGTCTGAGGTACTTTGTTGGTGCAGCCTTGCAAATCAAATCCTGTCTATGCAAACATGCCCTCTGTATAATGATTGTGTAAAGAGGAGCAGCTTCCAGAGTAGTGCCTACAGATGCTACAGGGCAACGTGAAAGGTGGTGACAATTAGTTCTGGTCTGCGTTCCACCAGCAGATTTCTCTGCCGTCCAAGGAATGGACTAGCTCAAAAGTCTCCTTAGTTTTTCTTGCCTAATACGCTTGAGGCATCATAGTCCTTGGGTCTGTTAAAACCTCAGACAAAGCACAGCTTTCTTTTCAGAAACCATTTAAGTGCTGTCTGTTAAAGGCACTTCAGGGGGAAAGGAGAAATAACCAGCTTTCTGCCCCTTCCCTGTGGTCCTTGAGATCTCGCAGTGCCTCCAGCATCTGGGTTCCCATCTGGATCACTGAAGGAAATAAAGCATATCGGGGTCCAGTGGGCCCCACCTGGGCTCTGCAGGTGTTTCTGAAGTAGCCCCCTGGGGTTTTCTGTGGAGTCAGGCAAGATACAGATGATTTCTCAGGCGGGGCAGGCTCTAGCAGTGTTATTAGTCACATTTCACATGTTGATGGGGACACACACCATGCAATGCATTGTCAGTGGATTGATGGTGTGTGAATATCCTAGGGTATACTTAAACCTAGATGGCATAGGTCAGTCACTGCATGTGGCCTCTTGATGTGATCAGGGGAATAAAACCTTGATGTATGAGGCTGTTGCAGCATGGTTTATAACAAAAAAAGAAACAACAAAGGGAGTACTTAAACTAGTAAAAAGCACAGTAAATACAAAACCAGTCGCAGTCATTAGTCATCATGTACTGTGTATCGTCGTCCATAAGTGTGTGTGCTGTAGTGCAACTGGCAGTGCAGTAGGTGTGCTTACCAGCATCACCACAAACGAGCAACATGTCCTTCTGTGAGGTTATGACACTGATGATGTTGCCAGGGAGTAGGAATTTTCAGCTCCATTGTAGCAGGACCAGCCTGTTCTGTGACAGGAATGTCATCATGTTGCCCATTGTTGTAAGTGCAAAGTATTTTTAAGATCCAGGAGCAGGACTGAAAAAGGCACCCCAAGAACAGAAGGTGAGCAAGGAAAGGCAGCCAAGGTGAGACTGCTCGTGGGTGTGATAAGAGAAGGCTGGCTCTGGGGAGAGGAGGAGGAGTGTTTGGAAAATCAGATCACACATTGGGAGAACAGGACTAAACAGAATGCTGGGTTTTCCAAATCAGCCATTTTTTTAAATCGTTTTAAATTAGTTATAGTGTTTATTTGTGGTAGGCATTGTTCTAATGCTTATAAATAACACTCTGCAAAGATGATCTGGGACTATCCCTAGTTTACAGAAGCAACTGAAACAGAGAGAGGTTAAGAAATTGGCCCAGAGTTAGTAAGAGGCAGAGCCTAGACTCAGTCTGTGTCTAACCTCAGAGCTTATTTTTAAATTTTATTTATTTAAACATTTTTTTTTAGGAGTAGTTGAACACAATACCTTTATTTTATTTTATTTTATTATGTGGTACTGAGGATCGAACCCAGGGCCTTGCACGTGCCTGACAAGCACTCTACCACCGGGCCACAACCCCAGCCCCTGAGCTTATTTTTTAAATGAACACGTGTGAGTGTGTGTGTGTGTGTGTGTGTGTGTGTGTGTGTGTGTTGCTGGAGATCTATCCCAGGGCCTTGTGCATTCAAAGCCAGCACCCTACCAGCTGAGCTATATCCCCAGCCTGAACATACTCTCTTTTTCATGATTTTTTTTTTTTTTTTAGTTGTAGGTGTATACAATACCTTTGTTTTATTTATTTTTATGTGATGCTGAGGATTGAACCCAGCGCCTCACACGTGCGAGGTGAGTGCTGTACCACTAAGCTACAACCCCAACCCCAAATGAACCTACTTATTTAAACTCCGTTTTTCTATGTGGTACTGAGAATTGAACTTGGTGTCTGTACCACTGAGCCACAACCCCTGCCCCCATGGAGTTTTACTGATTGTCCGGTAGTAGCTTGTTTGGAATTGGGATCTCACCAAAGTGTATATCTAGGTATTATGGTTTGAATTTTAAATGTCCCTCAGAGGCTCGTGTGTTAAAGGCTGATGACACTATTGGGAGATGTGTGGAGCCTGGTGAAAGGAAGTTAGATCATTGCAGGGAGCGCCCTAGAAGGGAATGTTGGGACCCCGGCCCCTTCTCTTCCTCTTCTTCCTAACTTTGCTCTACCTTGTGTTCCCTGCCATCTTTGCCACAGGTCCAAAAGCAATGGAGCCAACAACCAAGGACTGAGATCTCTGAAACCATGAGACAGAATAAATTTTTCCTGCTTACAGGTTGATGGCCTCAGTTCTAGTGAGGAAAGCTGACTGACACACTAGGCTATGATTCTTTAATCAAGATCTGAACTATGCCATTTAGTCACAGCCTGTTATAGTCATGAGTGGGGGCTCACGGGAAGCATGCTTTGTTCTTTGTGTTTTCTGCTTCTCTGCCGCCTACCTTCTCACTTCCAAACTCACCTTTGTCCTCTGCTATATGCTTGCTGATGCAGATTTGTTTCCTAAGCAGGCTGGAAACAAATCTTGGGATAGGACAAACATCAAGATAAATTTATGGCCAGAATAGGGGGAGAGAATCATTTAGGGCGAAAGGTATTTATGTTGGGAAAACTTAGGTCTTGAATGATCTGTCATTGATCAATATTTAATAATTCTGGTTCCTCTTAGCTAGCATTTGTGACACATTTGCCTGCAGATGTAGTCCATTCTTATCATTTAGTCCTCACAGAGCATTATAAAAGTAGGCTTATGCAGTTTTCTAGATGTTGGAAATGAAGTTCAGAAAAATTAGTTTCCTGAAGCCCGGGAGTACTTTTAAAAATACGTATTTCTTCAGGGGTTCTTCCATGTTAATCTATACGGAGCAGCAAAATGTTTTGACCCTGCTTTTGTTCTGACATCTCTTCCAGGGTGCATCATACTGTTCCCTGCACTAGTCGCATATGTGCACTGGGGTGTGAAATACATTTTTCATAAGCAAAGAACACCTCTGTGGGACTTTGCTTCCAGTTGGTTATCGACAGCTGACACTTCGCTATGAAATATGAATTATTCAGAAGTGCATCTGGAATTCTCATCATGCAAATAGTGTGTTTCATGGCAAGAGAAAAAGCAGGGTAATCCACTCATTCAGCAAGTATTTGTTTTCGTTAGTAAAGGAATATGTTAGACTTAT